AATTGGATCGGATACGGAGTACGCGAACGGACAGAATACGGAGGAATACGGAATAATGTGCTGTGGTTTTCTGAAAACGGGTCGCGTGCGGTCCGTATGCGGTTCCTATTTCAACCGCGCGCGAACGCTGAGCGTCCGTAACGGATCCGTTCGCATTTTACCTGTGAATGAAATCTGTCAAATTTAGTCTATTAATTTTTCATTGTTGGACTTCTCTTGTGGATACTGTATTCAGTGTTTTAGTTTGTCCTTTTCCATTGGCTCCTATTTATGCTGGATATCCATTCTTCAATGGATGGGTGTAGGTGTACAGCATCAAGCTTTATTTGCAATGGCTTCTACGGAAGGTAAAACTGTGAAAAGCTTGTCTATACTCATTTTGAAGCCCTTAATTTTCTAATTTCAAAAAACAATAAAATTTCAAGTTTGAAGCAAAACGAAGGAAGTTACAAGTCAAAATGTCTAGGACGGTTTAGCTTCTCTGCGCCTCTCGATTTCAAAATTAATATAGTCTGATTCATACTCGTTGTGAAGCCCTTGAATTGCTGATTTCAAAAAACCCAGAATTTTTGAAATTTGACGCTCCTTTCCAGCAATGATGGTATCCGTGATGGGACTCTATGAGAATCGGTTTTACATTCTTAACCATCATATACTATGGTGGGGTGGCATTCGAATAGCATTTTATATTTTAAACAATTTTCTGGCGATTTTAGCATTTATTCCTATTTATTATCTTATTCCGGACCAAACAAATGCCGAGGAGATTATTTTGGAGGTAAGAAATACGTTCTCCCAATTGTATACTCAAAAAAATTGCCAATTTTTTCCCCTTTCTTGAAGGTGGGGGGACAGGAGATTTTACGTAGGATTTTTGGAGCCAGCGTATGCATTCTACCGTGACAGTGTACAACGTTTAATGTCACTCTGCGTACAGCTGTCGCCCTCGCCTTTATGTATGCAATCGGGCGTGCGCCTTCTCTTTGCCCGCGTGGCTCAGTCGGTAGCGGCGCCGCACCCTCAATCATCGCCCTCACAAGTTCAACTTTTAAAGGCGCACAGATTCATCCGGCAGATGAAAAGAGCGTTTTTCAGTCTAGAATGTCTAGAAATTTGAATATTTAATGAATATTTTGATTCAGGACGCTTTGTTAAAGCCATATAATTCAAGTTTATGAAAATTCAGAATTTTCAATTTTTTCAAAAAATTGAAAAAAATGTCAAACTTACATTGGAAATGTTTGCCACAAGTTGCTGATTCCAAAAATCTATTTTTCAAAAAATTCGGCTCACATTGAGCTGAGTTACGGGCGCTTAAAGATAGCTGGTGAGAGGGAGACGCAGAGAAACGAGAGCGTCTCGTCTCTCTGCGTCTCTCAACGCCAACTTTCTAAGCGGTACAACTCAGCTCAAAGTGGGCCGAATTTTTTGAGAAATATATTTTTAGAAAAAGTTCTTCATGGGGAACATTTTAAATACAAATGTGACTTCTTTTTCAATTTTTAGAAATTTTGAAAAGCGCCATAAAAAGCTTTTTCTGAAAACATACTTCTTTTTTCTGAAAATATATTTTCTGAAAATATGCAGTAGAAGATTTGACGAAACTTCTAGCTATTCTGGGATGCTGCAAACTTCATAATCTAACGATCGCCGGAGAAATCGATAATGTTTTTGCTCAAAAATTATTCGAAAAATTCGAAAATCTCCGCATCGAAATTCATGTGAACACTGTTTTTCTTCATCCTGCTAGAATCGAAACGGCTCCAGTGAATAATATTCTGAATTTATGTCAATCGATCAAGGAAATCGATATTAAATCAGATGATTTGCCCGATGAGGCGTTTACTGATAAACTCAATGGAATCACATCGCTCAAAAATGCGGAAATAGTTAAAATCCACAACACCTGTCCGGATAAAGTGTTTTGGGACCCATCTCGCTTGATGATACCGAGTGTTACAGTGGAATTAGACAAAATAAGCGTCTACAATTTTGTTCGACTGCTTAAAGGTGGTGTACAGAGAAATTTTTTATTGCTTCATTTTGTACAGAAATGCATGTAGATTGACATAAAAATAAAGAAAAAATTCAAAAAAAATTCCTTCATCGAGAAAAACGCATCGAAAAATACGCTGAAAGCCCTTAGGGACGAGGTTTTTTTCTAGGCCGCCCGGTGAGTAAAAGCGCGCGAATTCAAACTTTTCAAAATTTTTCGCTCGTTTTCACTGTTTTTTTTCAAATTTTCCGATGTATCTGGAAGAAAAATT